AATAATCACAAACAAGAGGTGAAAACAGAGTTGCATAGTCAGCCTAACATTTTTTTAAACACTAGTGCTAATTGTTACTTTCAAATGGTATGTTTTCCCACATTTAAACATAAAAAATTTCCTCCACTTAACATAAGCAATTTTGCATCATTCTAAAAATAGCTGGTGAATAATTTTGCAAATAACAACAAAAATATCCTAATCTTTTAAAATTAGATGAATATTTTAATAGTAACACTTTTTTTGTCAGTTACAGCGCCAATCTAAAACATTCCCCAATGGTGTTTGTTCTCAGAAATACACAATAAAGAGGCATCTCTCTTCTTTGTTACAAGGTGCATACTGGCAGGGGAAGAATGCATGAAATAGGGCAGTCTACCTTGGGGGCTTATTAGGATAGTTAGTACTTTAAAATGAGGATATTGAATTAATTCCATAATCTGAAGATCTAGACCATCAAATACATAAACAAATTTACCTATATTTATGCATATGATATTATCTGAAAAATCAGAAACCTAAATTCATTAGTAAATGCTTGGGAGTGTGAAATTTTAATACTGTAATTCTAAAGACAGTTATTTTACTTTTCTAGACTTCTTTTTTATTATTATTCTCACCTGCTGGCAACATACAGCTTTGAGGAGGGGGGGAGGGAGTATCAAGATTTCTCCTCCCCCCCCCAAATCAAAATGGGACATACACAAAAGGCTGGGGCCTCATTGTCTTCTAGTCTGTGACTGACTCTCACAGGCAGCACAAATGTCTTTATCAAGGAATTCAGATACATTCAATTACTACATTCTTAAAATCCCTGACTATAAAATTGTGTAGGAAATAAAACAAAGACAACATTTCTATCACAGGCCTTTGACTTAGGAAGAGTCAAATAAAAGATGAGACAAGAGACAAGACCAAACAAGACAAGAGATTGGAACCTAGTGGTAAGTGTTGACCTCTACGCAGTGCCCTGTTCAGCAGAGTACAACCAGGACTCCAGGTGTCCCTCCGCTCCAGGGAGGAAAGTCAAGAGGGGCAAATGGAAGCGTGCAAGGAGCCCCAGACTGAACTCTGAAGATTTCCAGTATGACCCTCACAACTCAGGAGGCATTTTGCCCCGCTGCCTCCATACTTAACAGTTAGACATAGAATTTGCCCCGAGGGGCAATGTCTTCTACATGGTTTGTGTTTTTTTTCCTTCATATTTTTCCCATACAGTAAAACTCTGAGTCTGCAGAAAGCAGAACAGACGTCTGTGGATTCCCAGTGAGAATGGAGCATTGGCCCAAGGCCTCCCAAATCTACTCGCTGCAAACCAACAGCAGCAAGTAGCAAAGCTGCACAGAGAGGCCTGAGTCCAAGGAGCTGCCGCCGCGCTTTCTAGGTTTCCTGGTCAAGCGCAAAAGAAAAAATCCAATGTGTTTTGGTGAGGGGGTGGGTAGTAGTAAGGAGCAAAGTTCCGAAGTTGGTAAAAATCTGTCCTTCCGTAACATTAAGAAAAGTCAACCCGAAGGTCCAGTTTTCACCTGGTAAACCCGAGAGACGCGCTTTAAGGGTGAGGCGCGAGTCCCTGCCTTCTGCACGATAAGGTGGTTCCTAGGGAACCCAGCAGAGCCTGTCTCATTTCCAGGGACCGGAGATCATATATTTCTTCCGTTTGTCTTCCCCCCACCCCCACGCCCGAGTGCGGGGGCAGTTTATTTCCTTTGAGTTAACAAAATTAAACCAAGTCCTCCTGCGATGGCGAAGATAGGATTTCCTGGCAGCCGACCGGGGCCCCTAGACGCTTCTTCGACCCCAATCACCCGGCACCCAGACACCGCGTCTGGTGGGACTCGGGCGCAGCCTGCGCCGGTTGCCAGTGGCTCCAGCGCAGCCAGTCCCTGGTTTGCGCCGCGGTCGTCTGAGAGCCCCAGACAAGCAAATTCAAAGCGCCCTCTCATTTAATATTTGCATAACTATTGGCCCAGAAATGGGATAAATATGCCCATTTCCTGGATAGGGCACCCAGACCCGGAAAATGAACACCACTCGCTCAGAAAGACTAAGGGTAAGAAACCAGTTTCCCCCGAATTCGCTGCTTTCAAAACTGTCCAGAAAAGGGGCGCAGAAGGCGCGGTCCCCTGGAGCACCTCCGACTTCTCGCCTCCTGCGGCAGCGGCTCTGGGCTCGCGGGCAGTGAGACCCGCGGCGCCTCTGCGCGCGCACGGACGGGGAGCGCTGCTGCCGGGAAAGTGGGCAGGGGAGGCACCCGAGGAGGGGAGGAATTAGGAAACCTCTGCAGACTGGAGCACGGTCTGGTTTCCTTCCTAGCCCACAAGCGCGGAACGCCGCCCTCCGGAGGTCCCGCTCGCCCGGCCCGGCCAAGGCCGTCGGGTTTTCTACACGGCGAATGGTGCGCCCTTGCGTGCGGTGCTTCTCACTAGAAGTTGTCCTCCCTCCGGATTCGAAGTCACCCCAAGCTAGAGAAGGTTTGTGCTCTGCCATTATCTTCAACTCCCTCTTTATTTTGCCCCTGCCCTGTCGCATTTCAAGAAAATGAGCTCTTAGAAAAGAAAGCCTCTCCGTTGAGGCGGCTGGCAATCTCACAGAAACGATGTAAATGGTTGCAGGGCTTTTTTCCTTCCCCTCTGCTACATTTTTCGAGTGAACTGTGAAGATCTGTGAAAATTATATCAGGGTTTTCCGTCAGAACGAGCTTTGCCCTGCACTCAGGCGTGGCGTGATCTGACCCGACACCTCCAACCATCTGCGCTATCTATCCGCCTTCTGATTAGCCCGGCGGTACAGGCCGCATACAAATTGTACTTGATACTAAAGAAAAGGCAGCCGGGGCCCAGTTCAGTTCCAGGAGAACATTCCTATCTGATTCCTTTCTAGGGATGGGCTTTCCAAAGATGGTTTTCCTTGGACTTCCCTCCCAATTATTTTCTTCAAACTAAACAACCCCTGTGAGATCGTGGTTTCTTTTGACCTAGGCCTCAGAAAGCCGTATGATGTGATTGTCAATTGGGAATCAATAAAAGTTACCAATTCAATCTGCTGGCCCAGAGGCAGAGCCACCAAGAAGGCCCTCCTGGGCAGGAGGGGTCAGTGCTCTAGGGCTTAGTGCTTTCTGCACACCCCTCAAAACCATTGCTGTGGTCCCCCCTGCCTGCCCCCTCTCTGTCTTACTTCTTCTGAATTACTTTTGGGTTAAAAGGCCAAGGTTAGAGTTTCTATCCCCAGCTTAAGAGAAATGTCCTAACACAGGGTAGGGGAAAATTAACCTGCAAGAAAAAGAGCAAATCGATATTTTTAAAAAGATCTTTGAAATAAGCTTTTAAGTTGCTGCCCTGACCTGCCAATGACTTCTCACTTTAGATGTGGCTATGCTGCACGTTTGTTCAAGTCCATTAAACTGGGGAGGGGGCGGAGGCTGAAAGGTACAAACTTTTGGGGGGTGCGATGCCCCCTTTCTTGGGAGTGTTTGACTTCCTGGTCAGCACCTAGCTCTGAGTGATTTCAGGAGGCTTTTGAAGGTGGTGGTGGGGTACAGAGTCCAAACTGACCTCTTCTACAGATTCCCGGTCGGGTCGGTTCCTTCTGCTTCAAATTCACTTCCCATTGGGCTGCTTTGGAAGCTGGAAAGGAGGAAAGGTATGCGGGGATGGGTGCTGGGAAGAAATGGGGTGATCCACTTTCCCTCCCTCCCCGTAAGTGCGTTCCCCCGCACTGTTTGCCTTTAGGTTACGACTAAACCTGACGAATTCTTGGAGGATTTCGATTTGGCCAGTCCTCTTTGTCCTCTGGAGACCTCTTGACCCAGGCAAAGCAGTGCCCCAAAGTGGATTCCTGCAGCGTCACTGCCTCTTTGGGGGAAAAGGGGGAGAGCAGAGGAACAAGGCGAGAGAGGGAGGGGGCTGAAACATTGCTGCTCTCGCCTCTCTTTTTCGCCCAGCCACTCGCCAAGTGTTTTCCTCCGCCGGGTTCTGCAAAATACTGCGGAGAAGTCGGCGAGCGAGCGGCGGGCGCTGTCGAGAGCGGGGAGGTGCTGAAATGGCCCAGACGCCCGGGTTGCGGTCTTGATTGGCAGAGCGGGCCGGTGACTGACAGGGGGTCTCCATGGCGCCCGCGCTGCCAATCCGCCCACCCCAGTAGACAAGCCAGCTCGCCCGCCTGCTGCCCGGACCGCGCGAAGCCGAACCTGAGCCTCGGGGCCGGCACCTCCTCCAACCCCCCGGCTCGCCTGCCTCCTGCAGTTGCCCCGCCGCCGCCGCCCCAGCGGTCGGTCGGGCTGCC